GAAATATTTGGGAGAGGGGAGAGGAGGGCCCATCCCAGCACTGCCTCTGACAGGGCTGGGCAGCAAAGCAGAGCGAGAACAGGCACGATGAGGGGAGGCAGATCCCACGACTTCATTAAGAGTCAGAAAGGAGACCAAAGCAAAGAATTTTCAGCTCTTAAGAAGGAAGAAGAAAAAAAAAATAAAAAGGAAAATGTGTTTTAAGTTTCCAGGAGAACCACAGAGTTCACTTTGTTACATGGAAATAAATGGTTTTGTAAGCGAGGCAGAGCTGCCCCGTGCACGCCCTTCTCTTGTCCACACAGCACAAAGTCTTGTTTGCACCCAAAATTCAATCCATTTAATTAAACCCACATCTCCTCACATGTGGACACTTCATCCTGTTCACACACAGCTTCTTTCTGTCCTGTTCACACATGTCTCTAAAATACTGAATTTCAACCCAGAGGACACCAGCCAGACACATCATTGCTCAAAATAAATTTTCCCAAAACCACTGGAGATGGAGGCAGGAGGAACCTCCAGCCAGGCAAGGACCAAACCCACACCTTGACCCCAGCCCTTGGAGCCAGACACAGCCTCAAATAGCTGGGATTTTTCCCCAGAGAAAGAGCTTTTTTGGGTTTGCTGGGGCGAGGCAGAGGCAGCCACCATATCACAGCACATTTTGGTCATAGCTGAACATTTCAGGTCCACTTTGGCCCCCTGGACAAACAGACATCCGTGGTGCTGGGTGGGCAGCACCCAAGGGACCTGCCAGAGTCACTGGGGGGCCACTGGATCATCTCCCAAAGGTCTCAGCAGTGCTGGTGACTGGGAAAAAGCAAACGTGACTGCCAGCTTTGGTCTGGGAGAGGAGGAAGAACCAGAGTGGTCAGTGCAGAACATTTGGCCTCACCAGCACCGCCCTGGGAAGGTGATGGAGCAAATCCTGCTGGAATGCGCTCCCAAGAGGCCAAGATGACGGTGACTGGGAACAGCCAGTGCAGGTTCCCCAGGCACAGATCGTTCCCTGGTGCCCTTTGGGATGAAAGGGCCCTGTGGAGGAGGGGAAATCAAGGGGTTTGTTTGCCTTGGCTTCAGCAGGGCCTTTGGCACAGCTTCCACAGTATCCTCGGAGCCCAACCGGTGAGATACAGGCTGGATAAGTGGAATAGTAGGAAAACTGGCCAGACTGCCAGGAGCAAAGGATGTGTCCAGGCACAAAGTCCAGCTGGCAGCCATCCCTTGGGATCAATATTGTCCTTATTATCCACCTGGATGATGGGACACCCGCTGGGAGGAGCAGCCGATCCTGGGGAGGACGGGACCGTCCCAGAGAGAATAGGACAGGCTGGAGGAAGGACAGGGACCTTGTGAGGGTGAATGCCACGTCCTGCCCCGGGCTGGGATAAGCCCACGGACCAGGCTGAGCTGTCTGTGCTTCCCCCCTCCGGCTCAGACGCGCATTCCCAAGGGGCAGTTTTGGTAGTTTCCATGGAAGTAGCACAAAACCTCAGTTCAAACCCAGCCAAACTCCGGGAGGAGCGCGGAGCAGAGCGGCGCTGGGAACGCCACCTCCTGGCGTCACCATGGAATCATGGAGGGGGCTGGAAAGGACCTTAAAGCTCATCCCATTCCACCCCTGCCATGGGCAGGGACAACTTCCACTAGCCCAGGTTGCTCCAAGCCCCGTCCAGCCTGGCCTTGGACACTTCCAGGGATGGGGCAGCCACAGCTTCTCTGGGCAACCTGTGCCAGGGCCTCACAGCCAAGAATTCCTTCCTAATATCTACCCTAAATCTCCCCTCATTCATGGCATCCTCTGAATTCCACCACGACACTGCTGGACAGACAACCCCCTTCGGAGCTGCCCCCACTCCTCACGGGTTTGGGGCCTGTGAAACACAGAGAGCAGGTTCCTGCCCTGCTCCGTGTCCCGGGGATGCCAGAGCAGTGCAGTCCCACCCAGTCCCCTCCTCCCACACCCCAGGGCAGAGCCCCTGCCCAAGCCTGGCAGCTCAGCCCAGTGCTTTGCATCTCTGCTGCAGAGCACCCCCCACTCCAGGGGATCCCCTCCTGCGAGAAAAGCCCCTGAGATTCACCCCCAATATCCACACCGGGGCTCAAATCCCTTCCCAAAGCCAGAGGCCACCTCCTGTGGGTTTAACAGGGGGTCTCTGGTGTTGGCAGCCCCAGTAAGAGGGGACCTGCTCTGCTGAGGGGTCTCCCAGCTCACAGGCCACATGGAACCCTCTCTGTCACCGAGAGCCACCACGTCTGCTCAGCTCCAGCCACCAGCCTTGTGCACAAGAGGGAAGCAGCATATGGGGACAAGCCTTGGCCAGGCTGGAGGTCTGGTGAGCAGCTCCTTGGAGCTGCTCTGCCACTGGCCTGAAAGAACAACTCCATCAGCTACTGCAAACAGACCTTCTGCTTCCCCGCTTCCAAATGCATCACATGCTCAAATACAGACACTCCAGGCTTCTTCCTGCTTTAATTATTTAAAAATCCTAACTCTGGTTGTTTATTTTCAGGGGCTATTACTGCATTCAACTATTTTGAGACAAAAAAAAAATAAAAATAAAAAATTTGAAGCCTTTCCCTCATTCTGCCGGTGAAGTTTAATTCACTCTAATTATTTCATATTACTTAGACTATAATAGTTTCATAATTTCTAGTATATTAAGCACTTAATACGTTGTGTCATTTGAAGTCGCATATTAAATTCTGCAAAGTACATTTTAATGAGAGCTAAGTAGTGTGAAAATATTAATACAACACCATAGTTCATTTTTGTCCCCGTGTTTGCAGGCACTGCTGCCACACACAGGGTGTGCCCAGGCAGGTGGGCACAGCAGGGCTGGGCAGGGACACAGGGACCCAGGCCAGGCCCCTCTGGGGTCCCTGCACAGGGTCAGCTCGAGCCCACGAGGTGCCAGCAGTGACCCAGCCAGGAGGGCACAGAGGAACATGCAAAGAAAGAGGCTCAGGTGCCCCCCTACAAGCTCCAAAGGGGCCCAACTGTTTCATTCCCTCAAGTGACCACCTCTTGGTTTGCAGAGCTTGATTCTGCTCCCTGATTTACACATCCCCTCCATTTCCCAGCAGATGACCCCCCTTCCCAAGCTCTTACCTGCATGAGAGATGGCACCAGCTCCACTGCTCCCCCTCAGGGTCACCTGCCAGACACCTCTTCAGCTCACACAGCGCAGGATGTCTGCGTCCAACGGAGAAAATCCNCACGAGGTGCCAGCAGTGACCCAGCCAGGAGGGCACAGAGGAACATGCAAAGAAAGAGGCTCAGGTGCCCCCCTACAAGCTCCAAAGGGGCCCAACTGTTTCATTCCCTCAAGTGACCACCTCTTGGTTTGCAGAGCTTGATTCTGCTCCCTGATTTACACATCCCCTCCATTTCCCAGCAGATGACCCCCCTTCCCAAGCTCTTACCTGCATGAGAGATGGCACCAGCTCCACTGCTCCCCCTCAGGGTCACCTGCCAGACACCTCTTCAGCTCACACAGCGCAGGATGTCTGCGTCCAACGGAGAAAATCCCAGAGAGGATTGGAAGGGACCTTTAAGGCCCCCTTGTTCCACCTCTGCCATGGGCAGGGACACCTTCCACTAGCCCAGGTTGCTCCAAGCTCTGTCCAGCCTGGCCTTGGACACTTCCAGGGATGGGGCAAAGAAGCCATGGGAACTTTGTCTGAAGCTCAGAAAACCAAAGAGAATCCCCCAAAATCACCTGTGCTCCCACGCCAAGGGTTTTTAAACCTCCATCCCAGCCAACCATGTCCGCATGCCCGGGCCGGGATGGGCTTCCTCCCCCTCAGGTGATAGGTGGGAGTCACTGCTCCTGCTCCGGCACAGCTGATCCCGGGGTCGGGAATGGCGGGGAGAGAAGGGGGGGCTGCACCTCCGGCTGCGCCCACGCGGTGGCGGCGCAGGCCGCGGAACCGCCTAATGAGCCCCGCAAACTAATTAACGGCACAGCCGCGCTCGGCGCTCCCGGGGCCGGTTCGCGCTCAGACCCCGCCGGGGCGGGCAACGCGCAGCCCCCCGGGTGATCCCCCCCTTCCACCCTCTTCCCTCGCACTGGTCCCGGTCTCCGGGATGCTGCTGATCCTCGGGATGCTCCCTGTCCCCGCATCCTTTTCCCCGGTCCCGGCCTCCGCAGTGGGATCACGGTGCATCCCTCCCGCAGCTCCCGGGGAGAGTCCCCGCCCGGTCCCTTCCACCCCGGAGCTCCCCAGGACCCCGGTGCAGCCTCCCCCGTCCCTGTCCCTGTCCCGTTCCCGATCCCGATCCCGATCCCGCCGCGGTGCGAGGTTAATTCTGGGCCGAAAGCAGGTATTTCGGGGGTAATAGGTGTGCGCGCACCTCGCGCCCGCTCTCAGAGCTCATTAATGGGATACCTTCATGTGTGAAACGAGCATATAAATGGGCATTAATGAGCTCCCGGCTGCGGCGAGGAGGAGGAGGGATCGGGGAAGCTTCGCAGCCCCCCCAGGTTCGGACCCCCGGGGCGGCCGTCGGGGCCGTGCGAGCCCACCCCCCCCGGGGGGAGACACCCCCGCCCCCCGGGCCAGCCCCACGCACCAGGCGGCTTCTTAAAGTCTGTTTTTATTAAAGAACCAAAATCACGTACAGAGGGGGGTCTGTCCCCAGAGCGGGCGAGCGGTGTTCTGCCTCCGGAGTCGCGGGTCCGCCCGTTAAAGTGCCGTTACATCCAGAATTTACATGGAAGGGGGATAAAGGAGGGGGCCCGGGGCGGGGAGGGGGGGGGATAAAATATACATCATAAATAAATAAAAATCCGACAAATACTGTACCAAGAGAATCACAGTACATTTATATCCATTGCACATAGCCACTTTTGTTTCCAGTCTGGACGAGGGTGGAAGAAGCGGACACACAGGGAGGGAGGGGGGAGGCGGAGCGGGGAGGGGGAGGCCCGGGAAGGGCCCGGTTCCCCCCCGGCCGGCCCGGGGCCGCCCCCCGCCGTATTGCCAGTCCGAGGAAAGCCGGGCTCCGAGTCCTCTATGTACAAGTGTCTCCTCGTGGAAATGGCTTGTGTGGGCTGTGCCCGCATGGCTTCGGGGGGAGGGGGCGCCGGGGGGGCTCACTGGGGCAGCAGCGGCGGCTTGAAGGAGCAGTTCCCCGTGCAGTGCCGCGGGGTCAGCATTTTGCAGGAGAAGTGATGCAGCGCGTCGTGAGCCTCTGCAAAGGGATGGAACCGTCACCCTCCGGAGCCCCCAGGCCCCCCCTCAGCCGTCTGTGCCCCCCCTTCCCGTCCCACCGCGGTACCTTTCAACTTCTGCTGGATGGCGTAGCGCGCTTTCCTCTCCTGGTCCAGCTCGTTGCACAGCGTGTCTGGGATGGGGGGAGCATCACACCGCGCCCGGGGCCAATCTGAGCGCGGCCGCCCCGTCGGGGATGCGCCGGGCCCGAGGGCACCGCAGCGCGAAGGGGGGGAAGGAGGGAGGGCACGGGGGGGCACGCGATGGGTGCAAAGTCGGGCACGGCTTCGCGGCTTCCCACGTAATTTTACGCCTCGGTTTTTAATTTAGCCCGTGCGGAAATTACTGAGAGAGGGAAGGTGCATTCGCTGCCGTGTAATGATGCCTCGCAGCCGTTTGCGGGGCGGCTGGAAATGCCGAGACGAATTGGAGGGCACGAAAGGATAGAGATTTAAAAAAAAAAAAAAAAAAAAAAAGGAAAAAAAGTAAAGAAAAAATAGGAGGAAAGGGGGGGGGAAAGAAAAAAAAGGAAAAAGAAAAAAAAAATGAAAGAAATAAAGGAGATAAAAGGAGATAAAAAATAAAAGTTCTGATGGGCGGATGGGCTCGACCAGGCCTTACCTCGGACGATCTGCAGCTGCTGCACCATCTCTTCCCGGTACGCCAGTTCCCGCTTCATCTGGTCCTGGAAGTTATCTGCGGGACGGGGGGTCAGCACCGCTCCCGGAGCGGGGCCCGCTCCCCGGCCGGGGCGGGGGATGAGCGGGGGACGGGTCAGCGGTACCTTTCAGGCTCTGGAAGTCCCTCTCCAGCTTTTTCCTCAGCTCCATTTGCTCCAGGACCAGTTTTTGTAACTCATCTGTTTTAAAAATACACGGCGGGGTTGAGGGGAGCCCGCACTTTTCCATCTGGAGGCGGCTCAGCGCGGCGCTAATCGCATTACGTTACATTAATCACAGGAGTTAATCACTCCTGCACAAAACACAAATACCTCGAGCCGCGGGGAGAGGCCGGGGGGTGCCGCCAGCCCCCCCTGCCCCCCCAAGCCCGTCCCGTCGGGGCGCCGACCCCCGCACTCCTCGCCCCGCACCCCCGCCTCACCTCGGGCCAAGTTTTCGATGTCCTTCTCCACCAGCTGCGTCCCGGTGACATCCATGGCAAGGCCTTCCTCGCCTGCGGGGGGGGCAAAGCGCCGTCAGCCCCGCCGGGGGGGCTCCGCGGACCCCGCATCGCCCGCGGAGGGGCCGCGCATCGCCCCGCGGGGGAGCGCGGAGCGGGGCTTACCTCTGTCGGTATTTACAGGGCTGGGATGAGAGACATTCCTTTGGTCCTGATAGGATTTTCTGGTCTCTAAATCCTCTGCCGCGGAGTGATTGTCTTCTTTATCTTGCTCTTAAAGTTAATAAACCGATTTTCAACCATAAGCAATGAAAGTATGGTCCTGATATATCCTTAATTACATAATTACGGACAAAGCCCTCGTTAAAACCTTCTTAGCGGACATCCTAATCGCTTTGCTGTTGGAAAGTAGCTTGTGGGCAGGAGCTTGGCCCTCCCAGCCCATCCCCGCCGCACCGGCCGCGGCCACGGCGGCATCGCCGGGCCCGGGGGGGCTCCGGCCCCGACCCCCGCCCGGGAACCGTTTGTTTCGCTTTTCTCCCGAAATCCCCCCAAACGAAAGCGGCGGCCCGGGTGCCCCCCCGGGGCTGAGCCGCCGGCGGGGGCCTCCCCCGGGGCCGCGCCCTCGGAGCGCCCCGTCCGCCCGCCCCCGGCCCGCGTTACCCTTGGCCTCGGGGGTGCAGAGGAAGGCGGCGGGGGCTCCCAGGGACGCGGCGGGTTTCAGCGGCTGCAGGGGCTCCCCCCTCTCCGGCGCGAACACCTACAAAAGAGCGAGTCAGGGCCCCCGGGCCGGCCCCGCGGGGACCCCCGAGGGCAGGTCCCTCCCGGCCCCGCACCTCGTAGGCGCCGCTGCTGCTGCTCCGCTCGGGGCTGCCGTCGGGGGCCGGACCGCCCTCCGTGGGCACCTCGCCCGTCTTCTCCTCGGGCCCGTCGGCCCCGGCGGGCGGCGGCTCCTCGGGCCCCGCCAGCAGCCGCGGCGGCGGCGGCTCCCGGCCCTCGGAGGGGACGGCGGCGGCGGGGACGGCGGCGGATTCCTCCTCCTCGTCCTCCGGGAAGCGGTTGGACTCTACGTCCACCTCGGGCTCCTCGGCCGTGTCCCCCCCGGGGGACAGCGAGCGGTAGCTGGAGCTGCCCTCGCTGAGGAAGTCCGGGGAGAGGTAGCCGGGACCGCGGGGCCCCGCGCCGCCGAACGCCTCGCGGGTGCCGTAGAGCTTGGCGATGCTCTCGGCGTCCTTCACCACCGGGCGGAAGGCGGACAGGTAGCTGCCCTTCCTGGGCAGCGGCAGCGGGGCGAGCAGCGCCTCGTCCCCAGAGCGCTCCTCCTCGCCCGCCGCCCGCGACAGGGCGCTGGGGCAGCGCTCGCCCTCCGCCCCCGCGCCCTCCTGGGGGGTCGCGCTGCTCCTGCCGCTGCCCGAGGGCTCGGAGCCCTCCAGCTCCCCGTGCCGCCCCGCCAGCCCCGCCGGCTCGGCCGCCGCCGCCGCCGCCGCTGCCGCCGCCGCCACCACCACGGCGGTGGCGGCCGCCTTGGCCGGGCTCTGCGCGGGGTAGGGCGGCACGGGCAGGCTGCCGGCGGCCGGCCAGAACACGGGGAACGAGGGGTACACGCCGCTGTCCTTGGCGGCGCCGGGCTGGTGCGGCGGCTGTGCCGGCTGGTGCGGGTGCGGGTGCGGGGGTCCCCAGAACATGCCGGGGGGCAGCGCGCCGCCCTTGCCCGCCTCGCCGCCCCCCGCGCCGCCCAGCGCCTCCTCCTGCTTCTTGGGGCACAGTCCGAACGCGGCGGCGGGGAAGCCGTAGGGGTGGGGGAAGAGCGGCGGCGGCAGCTTCTGCAGCATCCCGAAGCCCTTGCTGGGCACCGGGATCACCGGGTAGCTGCGCACCGCGCCCGCCCCGCCGTGCGCGCCCGCGGCCCCGCCGTGCGCCCCCGCGAGCCCCAGCGCCCCGCGCTCGCCCGCCGCCTCCTGCCCGCTGCACCGCAGGCTCTTGTGCGCCGGGGCCAGCTCGGGGCCCGCGGGCGGCGGCGGGTGCAGGGCCGCCTTGGCGGCGGGGGAGCCGGCCCCGGGCCCGCCGGCGGCCGCCCCTTGCAGGGAGAAGGTCCGCTTGCGGGTGCCGCCGTTGAACATGGCCTTGACATCCTCCCAGGCGTGCGACAGCTCCTCCGTGGCCGTCTTGTCGCTGAGCTTGAGGTGGCGGCGCCAGGAGTTGAAGTTGGCGGCGTCGGGCTGGGTGTACTTGGAGTCCGGGGTGCGGTGGGAGTGGAAGATGAACTTGTTGGGGGAGAAGTACATGCTGCAGTAGCTGCACTTGATGCACTTGGCGCGGGAGCTGTTGTAGCGGGCCGGGATGAAGCTGCCCCGGGAGCCCCAGGCGCACTCGTGCACCACGTCGAAGGCGAAGTTCTCGGGCAGCTTGGGCGGCTTGTGCTCGCCCAGGAAGGACTTGCAGAGCCGCTCCGCCTCCCGCTTGGTGATCATGCCGCAGCGGCGGGAGGAGATGGGCATGGCCCCGGCCCGCCGCAGGATCTCCAGCTGCACCGGCGTGCACTGCACGCAGGTGATGCCCAGGGCCACCCGCCGGTTGTGGATCTCATTGTAGCTGTAGTTCTTGAGCAGCGTGTTGGAGATCTGCGCCAGGCAGAGCCGCTCCTGCCCGTCGATGACCAGGGACACGATGGGCACGCCGTACAGGGAGGTCTCACCCACTTGGTTGGGCTTGAGGGTATTGGAGCCTTGGTACGGCTGCAGCTCTTGCTTTGAATTTGGGGAGGAGCTTGCATCTCTCCCATTTCCCATCTGACTGGCGATCGCCTCCATTCCCCCCCAAAACGCCCCTGCAAAACAAAATCGGGGAAAGGCGCAGGTTAGAGGCGCGGGTTAGAGGCGCTCCCGCGGCCCCGCTCCCCGGCCCGGCCGATCCTCGCTCCGCGGCCCGGCCGATCTTCGCTCGGCGCTACCGGCCCGGAGCCCCCCGGGCGCTGCCGCAGGACCCTCCCGGCCGAGGGGTCTGGCGGGGCCGGAGCGCATCCCCCGCACCGCGGCCGCCGGTACCGAGCGCCGCCGTACCCGCCGCCGGGCGCGACCCCGGGAGCCCGGGGCAAGGGCGTCCTGGTGGGTCACCGTCCCCGCTTCCTTCCTCCCCGAGTCCCCGGCAGGTGCCTTGCCTTGCCTTGCCTTCCCTTTGTGCCGGCTCGCCGGGCCGTGCCGGGCCGCGGGTTGCGGCGAGCCCCGGGCGGGCTCCAACGAAAGGCTCCGGAGGATGCGGCCGGCGCGTCCCGCGGCGGCGGGGCCGGAGGGGCCGAGCCCCGGGCCGGACCGGGCGGGCCCAAACTTGGCGCTCGGTGCCCGCGGGCGGCGGGCGCGGTGCCCCGGAGCCCCTTTGTCGTGTCCCCGGCAGGCGATTAGGCGCGGGCGGATTAGGGGCCGGGGCGGGCAGCACCCGCCGCACGTAGCAGAAGGGCAGCAACGAGCCGGGCAAATTGGCTTAGCGGGGAGGGCTCCCGGCGGTTAAGCCGCTTCCGTGGTAATTACACAAAATAACGGGGAGCGACTCCCGAAAACGCGCCCCGCTTTCCGCCCCCCCATCGCTCCCCTCCCCTGCGCCCGCCGCCCGCCCGCACTCACCGCGCCGCGGAGCTGCTGGACGTGCCGGCTCTGCTCGGGACTAGGGGCCGCAGCCCGGCGCCGGGGCCGCCATCGGCCGGGGGGGCCCCGTCCGCGCCGAGCCCGTTCCCGGGGGCAGCGGAGCCTCCGGGGCGCGGGGCGGGCGGGCAGCGGGCGCGCCCTTCACCGACGCCGCGGGGCCGCCGCCCGCCCCGCCGCCGCGTCCGCCCGGCACAGATGCAACAAGAGCGAGTGACCAGCCGCGCCACCGAGGGAGGATCCGGATCCGTACTTGGAGACGCTGCACATTGATCCGGTGACAGCTAAAATAACGGGAAGACACACCCACTTAGCACCAGCATATTTACATTAACGGCCTCCGGGACCCCGCCGCCGTCAATCACCGATGCGCTCCAGTCAATCACGGCGCGGCTTTAAGGCACGGCGTGAACGGGGAGGGAGCGGGGGGGGGCCGTGGGGGGCCGCCACCGAGCGGGGACCCGCCCGGGCTGCCCGAGGTAAGATCGGGGATCAGCCCCGCGCCGCACCTGCGTGGGGCTCCGCGCCGCTCCGCGCCCCCGGGCCCCCCCGCGCCCCCCTCCCGCCGTGCGGACACCCCGGGGGGAGCGGTGCTCGTTGAAAGTTTGCGGGGGGAGCGGGCGGTAACGAAAAGAGGAGCCCGGAGGGAGTGGCGGAGGGACCCCATCGAAATCGGGGACGCGCCGCTGCCGCGCATCCCTCTCCCGGCCGGGATGCGCGCTCCGCTGCGGGGCGCGGGTGCGGGAGCGGTACCGGCGACGAGGGGGGGACATCGGGCGGCAACGAAATCGCCGAGAGGAGAGGGCGGAAGGGGGCGAGCTCGTGTTTTTCGTTCCCCACGGGGGCTCACGCCACGCCGGCAGGACCGGCGGGCCCGGAGCGGCGGGGGGACACGGTGTCCGCCGGTCCTGCCGGCG